TTTTTACGAACAGGAATGATGCTGCAGAGGATAAGGCAGCGAAGAAAATCAGTGCTGAAAAAACCCATCGGGATTATCATTCTTGTTATTCCAACTCCAGGAGTGGTGGCCCAGAATGCTGCTGGCCTGGCCGGTCCTTTCTAAGAGATGCAATGTGCTGCCAGCAACCCTAGCCACCGTCTCTCTGTCGTCCGTCTGTCTGCTGTGACCCCCATCTGGCCCCTGAGACCCCACCAGCTTTTGGAATGCCGCCCTGGCGTCTGGCAACTGATACTTTTATGACGGAGTGGGGAAGCATCTCCATCCCTGCTTCTTTCATTCCTTGCCAGAGGTCTGTTGTTTTTCAGGATGGTAAGTTCTTTTTGCCCCATAAATGGCAATCCATATGGGGCCTGGCCTCACAGACCAATGTCAGCAGCCTTAGTGAGGGAGAATCTCCGCCCAGATCCCCTCCCACCAGCAGGCCACCAGCCACCCTGGCCAGAGGGTCTGCGATCTGCTTCCCTTCTTCCCAAGGTTCCTGTGGCACCTCCTTGTGGGCCCAGAATTCCAGCCCAAGAGGAGGCTTTCTCCAAGTCTGCATGCACACACTTAACCCAAGGAGATCTGGGTCTACAGAGAAAAATATATTTTATAGTCTCCCAGAAATGAGCCATCACTAAAATTATTTTTTCCAGTTGGTCCTTGTATACAGACACATACAACTTTTTTAAATACATTTTGGCTAAAATCAACAATACAAAAACAACAGGTGTTGGCAAGGATGTGGAGAAAGGGGAACCCTCATGCGTTGTTGGTGGGAATGCAGGCTGGTGCAGCCACTGTAGAAAACAGTATGGAGGTTCCTCAAGAAGTTAAAAACAGAACTACCCTACTATCCCACAATTGCACTACTAGGTACTTACCCAAGGGATACAAAAATACTAATTCAAAGGAATACATGCATCCTGATGTTTATAGCAGCATTATCAACAACAACCAAATTATGGAAACAGAAGAAATGTCCATCGATTGATGAGTGGATAAAGAAGATATGCTATACACACACACACACACACACACACACTAGAATATTACTTAGCCATAAAAAAGAATGAAATCTTTCCATTTGCAGTGGCATGGATGGAGCTAAAGAGTATAACACGAAGCAAAATAAGCCTGTCAGAGAAAGACAAACACCACATGATTTCACTCATATGTGTAGTTTAAGAAACAAAACAAAGGAGCAAAGGGGGAAAAAAAGAGAGAGAGAGAGACAAACCAAGAAACAAACTCTTAACTACAGAGAACAAACTGACGGTTACCAGAGAGGAGGCAGGTGGGGGGAGGGGTGAAACAGGTGATGGGGATGAAGGAACGCACTTGTGATGAGCCCCGGGGGGTTGGATGGAAGTGCTGAATCGCTCTATTGTCTATCTGAAACTAATATCACGCTGTATGTTAACTGAATTTAAATAAAAACTTTAAAAAAAGAAAAAGTACATTGTGGGCTTCATCCTTGATATTTTTCCATAAAAGAACTGCCATGGGTATGCCAGGCACCCATGTGCCCGTCTGTCATGGGCCCGCTTGCCCTGGGCCCTTGCTGGGGAAGCAGAGCTCAGCCTTGGGAGGTGAGATTCTTGCTGAGCTCCTCTGTGCACTAGGAGCTGGACTCCAACTCGCACACTCTAACTTCAGAATCCACACTTTCACCCACCCTCTACCTCCTCCTCCCATCACCAGCTAACATGTTCTTTCAGAAGGAGATTTGTTGATTTATATTTTCTATTAAGATTTTTTTAAACATACACAAAAGAAGGGAGGACAATGAACCTGCCTGCAGGTATCACCCAGCTTTTGAAAGACATAGTAACATTTCCAGAACCAGCATTCCATGCAAGAGTTTGGGGCTGACAGTCCCAGGTCAAAGTGAACAACTCTTCCAGAACTTGATCAGAAGAACCTGGTAAGAATGATCCAGGTGGTGCCCAGGAGAGAGGAGGCCAGACCCACATAGGAAGCAGACAGGAGATAAGATGGAAACTCACAGGGAGAGTGAGGAAAACCAGGGGGCAGTGCAGGAGAAACTTGGAGTTTCTGGGGAGTCGCTGGCAGCAGTCAATTTCCAGCCCTCAGGTATTCTTACCCTAAACCCCCTGTGATGGACACGGAGAGCCCTGCCACGCCCTCCTTCCAGGGAGGGCTTACTGCCCCAGCTGGCTAGGGGCACCGTCAGCACACAGGGGCCAGGCCCTCCATATTGTCTCGGCTGCAGAGAGCCAGCTCACCCTTCCCAAGGCCATCTCAGCACACCTTGGGACAACTCTAGTGCCAGAGGCCCCCAGGGTGTCGGGGTTACTGAGGCTGTCCAAGCTTGACTTCATCCTCTGCCCCATCTCACTCCCTTCCTCCCCTTCCATAGGTGTTAATCCTAAGGCACTCCTTAATAAATATCCTGCACATGAAACCAGCTCAGAGTCTGCTTCCCTGGAAACCCAAGCTGAAACACCCCCTTTCCCCAGTGAGGGGGCGCCTGGGTGGCTCAGTCAGTTGAGCGACGGACTCTTAATTCAGCTCAGGTCATGATCTCAGGATCGTTGGACCAAACTCTGTGTCGGGCTCCGCACTCAGTGCAGAGTCTGCTTGGGATTCTCTCTCCCTCTCCCTCTTCCCCTCCTCCCACTTGCAGGCTTGCTCTCTGTCTCTCTCTCTAAAATTAATTAATTAATTAAATAAAGGAAGTCCCAGTGACTTGCAATCTAAAGAGCACAGCTAACACCATCACCCCGGGGTCACCATACTGGGGCTGTGATGACTACCATGCCCCATTCACAAAAAAACATACAGATATTGGGATAGAAGAAAGGCAAAGCAAATGGGACAGACTTTTACGTTGTATATGTCCAGGGAACATATGACCCATATGGGGGAGATGGGGTGGGGCAGGGAATGCAGCTTTGTTTATTTCTCTGGGGGTACTTGGGAGCCCACTCCAGCACATTAAAGGAAACTCATTACCTTCCTGCTCAAAGTCTCCTAGGGCTTCATTCAGGCCCTCTGGGAGAAAGTCTTTGGGGTCCATTCTCTTTCCCTCTTCCCCAAGGAGGTCCCAGATCCAGAAGCTAATCTGCCCCCATCCATGAAGTACCTGCCGCTGGTATAACTCAGGGTCTGGTTTTTTTTGGCTGACCTTCCTGGCTTTGCAGATTAACTGAATCTAACTTCCACTTTCCTTAAATCTCTGGCTTGGGCAGCCTTCTCTGGGGCCCTCTTCACAGGGCCAGCTTACCCCTACTGTCACTTAACCGGCTGAGTCAGCCAGGTGCCCCAAAGATTTTATTTATTTATTTGAGAGAGAGCGTGCATGCGTGCGTGTGCATGTATGAGTGGGGGGAAGGGCAGAAGGAGAAGGAGAGAATCTCAAGCAAACTCCCACTGAGTGTGAGCCTGAAGTAGGGCTCCTTCTCATGATCCTGAGATCATGACCTGAACGGAAATCAAGAGTCAAAGGCTTAACCAACTAAGCCACCCAGGCGCCCCTGTGAGGACTTTTTTGATGTGCCATTTTGGCTAGGCTACAGTCCCCAGCTATTTATTATACTACATAAATATATAGTATATACTATACTATATATATACATATGAGGCTCTGGAGGCATAGGGAGGGACATTCAGCACAGAGCCGAGCACACAGTGTTAGTTATTTCTATTAATGTCACTATGTCACCCAAACCAGCTGGAGACCCCTCTCTGTCACCCACTACATCACAACCACCAACTGCTTATTTTCTACGGTGATTAACTTTCTTTTTTTTTTTTTTTAAGATTTTTTTATTTATTTATTTGCGAGAGAGAGAGAGAGAGAGAGAGAGAAACAGCATGAGAGGGGATAGGGTCAGAGGGAGAAGCAGGCTCCCCGACAAGCCGGGAGCCCGATGTGGGACTCGATCCCAGGACTCCGGGATCATGACCTGAGCCGAAAGCAGTCGCTTAACCAACTGAGCCACCCAGGCGCCCTACGGTGATTAACTTTCAAATTTCTCAGCTTTTTATCCCCATTGCCACTCTGTGAGCCCGACCCTCATTATCTCTTGTGTAGATCATAGTGACAATCTCCTAACTAATCTGCTTGCATCCATGAAATCCATCGACAATGCGGTAAGAGCAAACACCAGCGTAGCCTTCACCATGCGCCAGGTGCTGTTCTAAGCACTTTGCAATCCTGGGATGTGTATCCTATTGCTGTCATTACTGTTTTACAGACGAGGACACTGAGGCACGGAAGGGCCAAGGCACGACACCCTCTACCATCCCTCTTTGCTTTCTTCCCTGCTCCTCCCTGCCTTGCTTCTGCTGAGATTTTCACCCTCATAACCTCTGATCCCATCCCTGCCACTTAGGCCCAGCAGACCTGGAGCTAGTTCCTTTACTTCCGTTTTAGTTGGCTTGGGCGGCCAGAATAAAGCACCACTGACTGGGAGGCTTAAACCACAGCCATTTATTTTTCACAATTCTAGAGGCTGGAAAATCCAAGATCAAGACGCCAGCAGTGCCAGCTTTTGGTGAGGGTCCTCTTCCTGGCTTGCAGACCAGACGTGCAGCACCTTCTCACTGTGTGCTCACGTGACCTTTCCTCCGGGCCCTTGTGGAGAGAACGTGAGACAGCCCTCCTGCCTCTTCCTCATTTTATAAAAGCACTAATCCCATCATGAGAGTTGCCCCTCTTGACTTCATCTAAACCTAATTACCTCCCAAAGGCCCCTAACACCATCATACCGAGAGTTAGCGAGAAAGTACATGAGAGGCGGGAGGGTTAGAGGGAGAAGCAGGCTCCTCGCCGAGCAGGGAGCCCGATGCGGGACTCGATCCCGGGACTCCAGGATCATGACCTGAGCCGAAGGCAGTCGCTTAACCAACTGAGCCACCCAGGCGCCCTCTGGCATTTTCTTCCATCCATTATCACCGTGTCCTTTAACATTTCCAGAAACCTCTTTCGAAGCATACATATTCAGCTCAGGAGCATTTATTGGGGAGCATGGAATGATAACAATAGAATAATACTGAGACTAGCTCGGAAAGTACTAAAGAGAAGTAATTAGCATGGTGCAGGGAAATTATAAAAAGAAACCAAAGTAGTTGAACCACGCCCCTTCACATAATACATCTCACCTACAAAATGCTTTCAGATACTTGATCTCACAGATCCTGGTGACAGCTCAATTACAATCTCCATTTCTTAGAGGAGGAGATCAGAGTTCAGAGAAACGATGCAACGGTCTGCGGGCCCCGGGCTGCCAGGTAATGGTGCCAGTGCCTGGACCCAGGTCTCCTGACCCCCACGTGCTATCTGAGGTGCTTCAGAGATGTGTCTATACTTTCATTACAACAGAAGGGGCCTGCCTGAAAGCACACAGCTACCACAATCCTTCCTGGAGGTGCAGTGAGAGTAAATAAATCCTTTCTTCCTACTTGCCTGTTATAAATTATTACTCCTTCCCCAGTGAGCTTGTAATTGTCTTTTTATCAGGCTCGATTGGGAGAAGCTTAGTAATCTGGCTCCAAGCCAAAGAGCAACACATTGCATAAAGGAGACAGAATTCTGAAATGAACAAATGAACTGAACAGAAAAGGGCAGTTTTGCATATTCTTTAAAGGAGGAGGATAAAAACTGTAGTATGTAGAAGGGGCCCATTTTCCAGAAATGATGCAAATTAAAAAGAAGTCAGAAATATGTGAAAATTGGTCAAAAACTACAAAGAAACAGAATTTCTCCTACACAGACACTCACACAGATTTTGTTTGCTTTTTTTTTTTTTTTTTTTTTTGAGAGAGAGAGAATGAGAGAGAGCACATGAGAGGGGGGAGGGGCAGAGGGAGAAGCAGGCTCCCTGCCAAGCAGGGAGCCCGACGCAGGACTTGATCCTGGGACTCCAGGATCATGACCTGAGCCGAAGGCAGCCGCTCAACCAACTGAGCCACCCAGGCGCCCCGATTTTGTTTGCTTTCATTCATTTGCAGCATTGCTTGTAGGTGTCCCTTCCAGAGACCCAGGCAAGAGGGGCTGGCCCGTTAGACCACCGCGCACACACGAGCACCATGCAGACCCGGACGCAGGCTTCCTTCCTCCGTATCCTGGAAGCAAAGGCTGACTGCACCTCAGTGCCAGACAGACAGGTGTGGAGGCTTAGCCGCCAGCCAGCACCAAAGATGAAATACTCCCCTGAGATTAGGGATGAGTGGAGTGACAAGAGCACTTACCTAAGCATTTGGGTCCCTCAAACGTCTTCCCTCACAGGTTCTTCAGAAACCGTAATTCCCAGTATTACCAAACGCCCATTTTCTGGCTCCTTTTCCTGTTCCAGTCTATGGTTCCAAAAATTAGCACAGAAATTCTTAGAGCTACAGGAACTACTCACAAATTAGCACAGTGTTCCCAGCAAGTGCACATGTGACAGCTGAGCAATATTTTGCAATAGTACACAGTTCATGTTATTCTTCTATTTGTACATATGTAGGTCTGCACATAACACATATGAAGCAATATACAGATTATATTGGCCACAAGAGAGACTTTGAATGCTAGAACTGCAGGCAGTTTAAATTTTATAAAAATTATTCATTGCATTTAACTACTACATATACAAAAATTTTAATCAAATATTTTATTTTTAAATGAGGCTGGCTTGCAATTTTGAAATTCATTAATAATTATTTGCATTTTGCTGTAGAATACTAGATAATATTTCAGGGAAAAATCTTGTTTAAAATATATATGAAATTTAACATTTTTAAATTTAACTCACAGCTTCTATGAAAACACAGTCGATCTTCATTATTCGTGGATTCCCTATTTGAGAATTCACTTATAACCTAAAATTTATTTGTAACCCCGAAATCAATATCCACAGCAATTTTGTGGTCATTTGAGGACAGGCACAAAGTGCCAAAAAATCTAGGTCCCCCAACGCACATGTTTCTAGCTGAGGCCAAACAAGGCAATGCTCTGCCTTCTTATTTTAGTTCTCATAATGTAAACAACTATCCTTTTTGCAGTCTGTTTAGTATCCTACTTTTCTCATTTTTGTTGGTGATTTCACTGTTCAAAATGGCCCCATGCATAGTGCCGAAGGGCTGTCTAGTATTCTCAAGCACGAGGAGGCTGTGATGCACCTCACAGAGAAAATACATTGTCAGATAAGCTTTGTTCGAGTATTTTATTTTTTATTTTTTTTTTTTTTTAAAGATTTTATTTATTTATTTGAGAGAGAGAGAATGAGAGAGCACATGAGAGGGGGGAGGGTCAGAGGGAGAAGCAGACTCGCCGCCGAGCGGGGAGCCCGATGCGGGACTCGATCCCAGGACTCCAGGATCATGACCTGAGCCAAAGGCAGTTGCTTAACCAACTGAGCCACCCAGGCGCCCATGTTCGAGTATTTTAAAGTGCCATTGGCTGGAAGTTTAATGTTAATGAACAACAATATATACTAAATAAGGTATCTTTCAACAGAAACACATAAAACAAGGATATGTATTGATCAGCTGACAAAAATGTGACCAAAAGCTCACGGGAACCTAACTGTATGTGTCCTAGGAGCAATGATTTAGTATTCACTAATTCAGCATCAGCAGTGACTTGATAGAACTAACAACCATAAATAATGAGAATTGACTGTATATATATTCAAGTTTTGTACACTTTGAATGCAATTACATCTTATTTTTTAATTGTTTAGATCATACTATCTGTAGAACACAAGTTATGTGAAAATCTTTTTTTTTTTTTTAAGATTTTATTTATTTATTTGACAGAAAGAGACACAGCAAGAGAGGGAACACAAGCAGGGAGAGTGGGAGAGGGAGAAGCAGGCTTCTCGCCGAGCAGGGAGCTCAATGTGGGGCTCGATCCCAGGACCCTGGGATCATGACCTGAGCTGAAAGCAGACGCTTAACAACTGAGCCACCCAGGCGTCCCTATGTGAAAATCCTGATAACACAATTAGTAATATGCTTAAGGGAAAGCAAGAAAAAAAATTGTGGGGGCACCTGTGTGGCTCAGTTGATTGAGCATCCCACTCTTGGTTTCAGTTCAGGTCATGATCTCAGGGTCCTGGGATCGAGCCCAGCATCAGGCTCTGTGCTCAATGGGGAGTCTGCTTGTGGATTCTCTCTCTTCCTCTCCCTTTGTCCTTCTTCTGCTCACACACACAAGTGCTCTCTCTCTCTCAAATAAATAAATAAATCTTAAAAAAAAAAAAAGGTTGTAATGCACAAACCAGCCTTATATTTACAATTGATGTGAAGAAGGAAATGAAAGCCAAGGGCTGGCCATGTTTGGATGTGCATCACTGTGGAGACACAAAAATTAAAGAGACCAAAAGTAACCATAAGAAAATTCAGAGAAACCATGGGAAAGCATCAAACAGGAGTTGGAATCATTCTTATCTAGATCTTTTTCAGACCCCAGAGGACATCTGGGTGACACATAAAATTTCAGAAACATCTGTCGTTTGAAGGCAAAAGGAGAATTTAGAAGTTGAGGGGATGATTTCAGAATAAAGGATGCTAACCCACTGATTGAAAGGATCCCACTACAACAGGGTTTGAACTGCTGTTTGCAACCAGTTGGTGGATGATAAAATCAAGTTGGCAGGTCATGATCATATTTTTAATGAAGTAATAAAATGAAAAGGAGTAGTTCAACACCACGGGCCATTAGGGAAATGCAAATTAAAACCTCGATGAGGGGCGCCTGGTCGGCTCAGTCAGAAGAGCATGGGACTCGATCTGGGGGTCCTAAGTTTGAGCCCCATATTGGGTGGAGAGATTACTTAAATAAAACTTAAAAAAATTTTTTTCAATAGTGGTAATACCAAATACTGGCGAGAATGCTAAGAATTTCTTACACATTGCTGGTGGGAATGTAAAATGGTACAGCCACTCTGAAAATTGTTTGGTAATTTCTTACAAAACTAAAATATACTTACCATATGACCCAGCAACCACTCCCCTGGACATTATCCCAGAGAAATGAAACCTTATGTCTGCGCACACCAGAAAAATGTACATAAATGTCCATGGCAGTGTTATTTTTAATAGCTGAAAACTGCAAACAATCAAAATGACCTTCAACAGGTACATCCATGGCATGGAATACCACTCAGAAATAAAAAGGACCAAACTACTGATACACTCCACAACTTGAATAGATCTCAAGGGCCTTCTGCTGAGCTAGAAAAGCCAAACTCAAAAGACAAAATTTTAGGGCACCTGGGTGGCTCAGTCATTGGGTGTCTGCCTTCGGCTCGGGTCATGGTCCCAGGGTCCTGGGATCAAGTCCCATTTCGGGCTCCCTGCTCAGCAGGGAGCCTGCTTCTCCCTCTCCCACTCCCCCTGCTTGTGTTCCTGCTCTCGCTCTCTCTGTGTCAAATAAATAATCTAAAAAAAAAAAGGCAAAATTTTAGAGACGGAAAACAGATTGTGGTTGCCAGGGGTTATGAGCCGGGGTTGAATGGGGGTAGGTGACACTATAAAGGGGTAGCACGAAGGATTCCCTTTGTGGTGATGGACTAGGTCTGCATCTGGATTGTGGTGGCTGTACAACTCTGAACATGTGATAAAATTGCAGAGAAATACACACACATGCACATAATAAATGGGTGAAATCTGGAAAAGTCTGTAGACTGCACCAATGTCAGTTGCCTGGTTTTCATATTGCACTATAGTTATAGAAGATGTTACCATTGAGTACACAGGGGACCTCAATGTACCATCTTTGCAACTTTCTGTGAGTCTATAATCATTTCAAAATGAAGAGGTTTTAAAAATGAAAATGAATAGAACAGAGAAGCTTAGAGTACAATACTCATAGTGAAAGTGAATATTGTTCTAGGGAACTTTTGTTTCATTTGTGCGTGCTCATGTGAGTCACAATGTGAAATGTACTTAATTCACTTCTTGGGGAGGGAGGCAATCATCAAGGTCAAAAACAGTTTGAAAACCATTGCTTTACAGCAAGCTTGAAAGACTCAAAGAGCTAGAGGGGCCAGGTAGACCATGTGAAGAAGTAAAATGGGCCTGGCTCATTAAGATGTCATGGTTCATCTTTCCCATATACCTAGTTCTTACTGTGGCAGGCTTCACAATGATGTAAGTATTCTTTCTTCCACAGATAAATAGGCTCTTTCTTTCATTGCTTTAGCTACATAGTACTCTTGATCTATTTGTTCTCCCCACTTTTGATAGTGAATTAGTTTATCTATTGCTGAGTAACAAACTACTCCAAATCTTAGCAAGATAACACAGCGACCACTTATTATCTCACAGTTTCTGGGAATGGCTTGGCTCAGCAGTTCTGGCTCAGGGTCTCCCAGGCGGTTACAGTCAAATTGTCACCCAGCTGGGGCGCCTGGGTGGCTCAGTTGGTTAAGCGACTGCCTTCGGCTCAGGTCATGATCCTGGAGTCCCAGGATCGAGCCCCCATTGGGCTCCCTGCTCCGCGAGAAGCCTGCTTCTCCCTCTCCTACTCCCCCTGCTTGTGTTCCTGCTCTCGCTGTCTCTGTCAAATAAATAAATAAAATCTTTAAAAAAAAAATTTTTTTTAATTGTCACCCAGCGCTGCAGCCATCTGAAGACTCACCTGGGGCCAGAGGACCCACTTCCCAACTCCCTTGTTGATAGCCTCCACTCCTCACTGGCTGTTGGCCACAGACTTGAGCTCCTCACTACATGGTCTTCTCCATAGAACTGCTCACAATATGGCAGCCGACTTGCCCCAGAATGAGAGATACAAGAGAAAGAAAGATAAAGCCAGGCACCTAAATGGAAATTATAGTCTTTTATAACTTAACTTCGGAAATGACATACTATCTCCCCTGCCATAAAACATTGGTCACACAGACCTTATCCTGGTACAACAGAGGAGGGGACTTCACAAAGGTGGGAACAAGACGGGGGGATCATTGAGGACCACCTTAAAAGTTGACTTCCACAGAGAGAGGTCCGGGCACAAGAAATATTTCTCTACTATAAGGAAAACACCAGTACAGATACGAGAAATGACAACCACCTTTGGTCTCCATGCTGGGAAGACATTAGGGAGTGGTAGAGAACCCAGTCAAGTGAAGAGGACATGGCCCATTTCAGGGGTGCAGCTGCTAATCGAATGCTGCCATGAGAAAATAGAGCTCTTAATGTGGAAATCGTTCCATGTTAAAATTTAATTAAAAATTTAAACCCAGATTCAGATTTCAACAATGCCAATTACCTGCAGTGTGACCTTAACCAAGTCTCAGATCCTATGCTGTAAAGCAGAAATGATCAAAATAGTGCCATTTCACATAGCTTCCGGGAGGATTAAGTGGGATAATACCCATAGAAGTCCTTTGTGCAGGGCCTGGAGCACAAGAGCGGCTCCATAATATTGGTCACCACGATTATTGCTATTCTGGCGCCAGAGATGAAAACCGGAGCAATAATATTCCCACTCTGTGGCTATTAGCCACTTGGGCGAGCTAAGCAGCTGCCAACGTTTACATAAGGGGTTTTCCTCCACACAACTACAGAGCAGAACAATTGTCAGCGAGACTGAACCTCAAAGGCCTGCTTTCCCTTTTTCACAATTTTATCTTGGAGAAGTCCTGAAATTCCATGACCTACAAAGAGAACTAGAGCTTTGATGGTGTGGAGAATACAGAGGTCACAGCCTGATTTCTTTGCTCCTCATACCTCCTTTGTGTTAGAGTCACACAGCTATCCTCAGGCTGGCAAAACTGGTACCCAAGAGGAGGCTGAAATAACAGCAAAAAAAAGGACCAGAAAGGTCATCTGGGGAGAAATAGATTTGCTCACCTGTGAGCCTACTCCAGCACAAGGTCTGAACTATCTCTATAACAGTCCACATACCTGGCTATCCACCTCTCATTGAATGCCTCCAAGGACAGAGAACTCATCACCTCTTCCAGCATAGTTTATTTCATTTTGATTAAGAATTTTATGTATTGGGGCACCTCGGCACCTCAGTGGCGCTGTTGGTTAAGCGTCTGACTCTTGGTTTCAGCTCAGCTTGTGATCTCAGGGTTGTGAAATCAAGCCCCATGTCGGGCTCACACTCAGCTCACAATCTGCTTGGGATTTTCTCTCTCCCTCTAGCTCTGCCCCTTTCCTGCCCTCTTTCTCTCCCAAATAAATAAATATTTAAAACAAAAGAATTTTTTGTATTGTTCAAAGAATATTGATTGAGCACTTACGGTGTCATGCATTGCATTTGGTGCTGGGGATGCAGTGGTAAACCAGACAGATTGAGCTCTTCCATTTCCTAGTGTGGGGTGAGAGACAATAAACAAATAAAGGAATATATAACACATTTGGTAGAGATGAATTCTATGAAGAAAGATGAAACAAGGTAAAAGTCAAGAGAATAACAGGGGAATTACTCTATATGGGTGGTCAAGGAAGGTTCTCTGAGGAGAGGACACTTAAGCAACTTTCTAAATGAAATAAGAAGGTGTACAATGTGAATATCTAGACTAAGAAGAACATCTCACATGAGCATTTCAACAAGGGCAAAAACTCTGAAGCAGAGTGAATGTCTTCCTTACAGTCAGGGGAAACTCGGACCGAAAACTCTTTCCTCTTACTCACACAAACACAAAATTCACCTCCTCTTAAGAGGTAATCAGGTTCATCACATCTGTCTGTACCTGTAGGGTTTCTGGTCAGATCAAGAAGGCCCCACATCTGTCCCTATCAGGTCTAGTCTCATCATATTTTCTCCATCTCTCCACAGGATCCAGCTTGCCCTAGCATTTACAGTTACATCCTTCCTAATATAATTAGCATTCTATCTACATCCCCATTCAAATCCCCAATTAAAAAAAAAATGTCAAATTGAACAGGCCTGAGGAATGTTGCCCCACAGCAAATCTCTAAAGGCTTCCCCCACACCGACGCCCTCCCCCACCTCCCTACCCTGCAGTTGACAGTCATCAAGAGTCCATTAGCTTCCTCTTATTAGCTCGACATTTTCCAAAGCATCCTTCTCAACAAAGAAAATGGAAATGTAATTGGAGTTGAGTGGTTCAGCTCTCTCAACACCATCTGTTAACAGTATACAATCTGTTCCAAGCAGCAGGCTGAAATGTTGTCAGACATAAATGACACCCAAGTCATAAGTAAATGCAAGGTATGAGCATGAGCTTGTTGATTGACTCAGAGTAATTCATTTACCACACTAGACTTGTAACTCAAGAGTCTCATCATCTTTACGTCTTCCACATCCAGAGGACACTGCCAGATACTTCATGGATATCTGATAAATGTTTACTGAATAAGTACATGTGTGGGTATTGCAGAAGATATTTAGGAAAAATCCCCAAATGAGACCTGAGACCCTGACACCAGTAAGTTATGACTTTTCCATCTCATGGTGCTGCTGCATAACAAAACATCCCCAAACTTAGTGATTTAAAACAACTACAAATTTATTTTGCTCACCAACCTGTAATTTGGCCAGCGACAACTAGCCAGGGCAGTTCAAGGCTCACCTGTTTGCCTGCTTACTGGTTGATGCTAGCTGTTGGCTCAGACCTCAGCTGAGACTGTAGCTGGAATGCCTACAAGTAGCCTTTCCTTGTAGGTGCTTGGTTTTCTTTTTTTTTTTTAAAGATTTTATTTATTTATTTGAGAGAGAATGAGAGACAGAGAGCACGAGAGGGAGGAGGGTCAGAGGGAGAAGCAGACCCCCTGCTGAGGGACTCGATCCCGGGACTCCAGGATCATGACCTGAGCCGAAGGCAGTCGCTCAACCAACTGAGCCACCCAGGCGCCCGGTGCTTGGTTTTCTCAGAGTGCAAAGGCATCCTGAGAGAGTCAGGCAGAGCCCTGGGGCCTTTTATGTCCTAACCTCATAAACTGAAAAGCATCACTTCTGCCATATTTCATTCACTAAAAGAAAGTCACACAGGACAAGCTATACTCAAGAAAGGCGTTTGAAACGTGTATTATAGCTGTCTCTAGAAGAAATAGATTCCTTTGTTTCCAAAATAAAAGTTGGAATTGGAGTTCACCAGAGGTCCAAACTGGGACAAATGCTCAGGCCAAAGGTGGGGCCCTGTAAGGTAACACCTAAATAATGCTTGACATTGCATCTGAAAAGGAATTAAGTGGCAGTGAGACCTTCCAAAAAGTCGATGTCTCAGGATGTCTGGAAATTTCAAGCTCAAGTTTGACAGATCCTTCAATAGTGTATCGCAAAGAATGCTCCAAGTCCATCCAAGCCTGCTTTCTTTTTCTCCTGGGTGCACAGCTTGACTACACTCCCAGCCTCCCTCACAGTTAGATAAGACCATGAGACTAAGTCCTGGCCAAAGAGATGAGAGCAGAAATAATGGAGACTACTTTTAAGACTGGTCCATAAAAATTCTAATGCAGTCCTGTATTTTTTCCTCTTTTCCTATCCACTGGCTGAATGGAGTAAACTTCCAGGACCCAGAGGAGGACAGAGTGACAAGAGAGAAGCCGGGGTACCTGAGTCACTACATGGAGGTAAGCTGCCCGACCAGAAACACCAGCATGTAGTGTTGCTGCATGAATGGGAAATAAATTCTTATTGCTTTAAGCCACTTTGGGGGCTGTTTGCTACAGCTGTTTGCCTTCCCTGCCTGTGAAGTTGGATTTTTAGTCACGAAATATTCATTCCCCTCCCTCCCCCACCACGGGTGGAATATACTTCTCCACTCCGTTAACAGTGGGTTTGGCCAATGGGTTGTTCATAGACATGAGCTGACATAATATGCTTTTACACACACTTCATCACTCCTACACTCTTCTGTGCTACACCCTCTTCCTGTTCTGCCATCACCTTGGGAAGAACAAGCATCAGCCAGATACTGGTCCAGAGGATGAGATCCAACTGGCAGCTTGGAACCCAGCCCGGCCTAGCGCAACCCAGCAGCAGCTGACTGACCAGCAGATGAATGAGCAAAAATAAATGATTATTATTTTAAGCCACTGAGTTTTGGGGTAGTTTGTTACACGGCATATTGTGGAGATAGTTGACTGATACACTAATGAAGTGTGAGTATGGCAGTCTCATGGGGCTGCCATTTTGGTGCCTTTTCTATTACCTCACTTAAGCTTTATGCTAAAGCTATTTTAAAGATGAAGAAACCGAGGTGTAGGAAAAGACTTGCCCAAGGCCACACAGGAGTTTGGTATATCACATTCATACGCCTAAATACTCTTCCTTCTGTTCCAAACACACTGAGGGAATGTGAGAAAAGCAGATAAAATCAGGGCGGCGGGGACAGGATTTAGGATGTTTCCACCAAATCCCACTTTAACAGAGCTTGCTAATAATACCCCCTGACACTTAAAAGAGGAAAGTTCGGGACAAATAAAACAAAAGACCAGCTTCACCCCCTGGGGTTGTTAATTTATGGAACTTACTATCTAAACATCTTTAGATACTACAACTGAAAATACAACTTTTCTAAGAAAGATTTGAACAATCGCATTATACCACTCCTATAATGGGTTAATAAGGAAAATAAGAACGTTTGCAGGGATATTTTCAAGGTTAACTTCAAGGAAGAAAACCACACCCTTGGACACAGTGTTCCTAGAGCCCTGGTGAGAGAAGGACTACAGAGAGCCCTCTCCGACTGTTTACCGCCCTTCAGACAATGCTTGTAACCAGCATTCAAGATGACCCGCCACCGCTCCCGCAAGAGCCGCCCCGCTCAGCAAGGCAGACGAGAGAGGGCAACCAGCCCCAATCTGAGCAAAGAGCAGTGGAAACCTGTTTCCCCTGTCCCTTCATCACTAGGAACCCTCGGCTAGGATTCTTTTAGTGCGAGACGACGCAAGGGCTCAGCCTCCCCGAGAAGAGGAAAAGGGGAGTTGGGAGGTCGGGGGGGGGGGGGGCAACTGCACAGGGATGGGGGGGTCTCTTGCGAGCAGGGATTACTGCAGAGCACGCGTGCAAGGCCGCACATCCATCCACACCTACAACTGCATACTACACATACACACCACACACCCCTCCCCCGCCGGCCCCCACGCCCATTCTGGAGCGGAGCAGCAGATTCCCGCGGACGGGAGCGCAGCCCCAAACGGAAAGCTAGGGCCCGGCGCCCACCCGGCAGCGCCCACAGCCTCCACCGCGAAGCCAGGCGAGCTGGGGGCGCAGGGAGCTGGGTCTCCCGCCCACCCCCCACCGGGACAGGAAGAGCCGCGCCCAGCCCGCGAGGCAGCCCAGCGGAGGGCGCGGCGGGGAAGCAAGGGGCCCGCGCCGCCCCCGCCCCCGCCCATCGTCTTCCAGCACCGCCCCCGCTGCGGCGGGCGAGGGGCGGGGCGGGGCGCGGCGTATATAAGACGAGGGGCGGGCGCCGTTCTTTTGTCTCTTGCTGCAGCAACGCGAGTGGGAGCACCAGGCGCCGGCTCGGAGCGGAACTCCACGGTGAGCGCTGCCCAGGGCGGGGGCCCCATCCGGGTGGGGTCGGAGCTGGTGAACCTGGCCGGCGCGCGGCGGCCGCAACAGGCGCCCTTCCCCGACGGGACGCCCGGCCGATGGACCACGCCCTGGGGCTGGGGCGGGGGGGGGTGCGGGACGCGCCCAGATCCTCGGCCTGCGGGGACCGGGAACGCCCCGGCCGAGTGCCACGTCGAGAGGCGTCGGCGGAGAGGCGGAGGGGACGCTGGCCCCGGCCGCAGGCCAACCGCCTCGCTTTGCCCACTAGGATCGCTTTAAGAAAATGGCAGACAAGCCGGACATGGGGGAAATCGCCAGCTTCGATAAGGCCAAGCTGAAGAAAACGGAGACGCAGGAGAAGAACACCCTGCCGACCAAAGAGAGTGAGTGCGCCCCCGCCTCCGGGTCCGCGTGCCCCCAGCCCAGGCCCCCCCCCCCGCCCTTTCCGAGAACCCCGCCCCACCCCCACCTGACCACGGCGCCGGGTCCCTGCGGCCCCGGCCCCCTTTTTGTTCCACGAAGCGCATGTCTTCCCAGCCCCAAGCCTCTTTCTTCAGACCCAGACCTCGTGGGTTCCTCGGCTGGGGGGTTGCAAGGTGTCCTCATCCCCCAGTGCCGCCTTCCTTCTCTCTACAGCCATTGAGCAGGAGAAGCGGAGTGAAATTTCCTAAGAACCTAAAGGATTCCCCACCCCCGTCATCTTCGAGACACCCCAGTCGTGATGTGGAGGAAGAAGAGCCACCTGCAAGATGGACACGAGCGACAAGCTGCACTGTGAACCCGGGCACTCCGTGCCGACGCCACCGGCCTGCGGGTCTCTGAGGGGACCCCCCCCAATCGGACTGCCAAATTCTCCGGTTTGCCCTGGGATATTATAGCAAATTATTTGTATGTTTAATGAAAATAAAACACACCTCGTGGCACGGCTGGCGTGGTCTGAGTCTTAGTTGGGAACGCGTGGGCAGTGTCGCTGCAGCAAAATCCCACGCGCCGGAGTCGAGTTGCTGTCGCAGAGCGGGAGGGGGTCGCGGAACGGCCGGTTTGGAGGGACCATTTTTAATGTTGATTTTACCTGCTTCTCCATGAGATTTTGTGCGTTATTATTAGCTGCTTAGCTCTCATGCACTCCATGTAAAATGTAACCTCACTTTGTCATTCTTGGAAGCTCTTTGGGAAAAATGCTTTTCCAGGGGAGCAGGATTTGTTTTTGATAAGCTTTTGCCGTCCCACTGTTTCTCTGGCCTCATAGTTCTGATTCACCCCCGGAAAGAGAACAGTGATTTAAAGTCTGAGAAGAAAGGGGTAAGCAACTAAATCCGGAATGTTGGAAATTGGGTGAGGTCACAAAAGTCTCCTGGAGGCTTTCTTGGAACTTAAAAAAGGAAAACAAAGGCGGGATCCAGGGGAAACCACAGCAGGAACATCAGAGCTGGAGGGGACAGCCTAGCTTTTTGTCTTTCAACCCTAGTGCAGAACCTTCCACAAAAGCTAGCCGTTAGAGGGAGTTCTGGGCTGAGCAGCCTCCGGTGCTGGGAGCAGCAGGAAGGGTGGGTGTGTGGAGGGAGGGCTGGGCTGGCAGCCAGCCCCGCAGGGTCACACCCTCTAGACCCCTGAGGAGAGGGGGACCAACCCAGAGGGGAGTAGTGGATGGGAGGTGGGGAGGCTGCAGGGCATTCTGGAACAAAAGAAACTGGCTTATGATTCCAGGGGTGAAGTTTTCTTCTAAAAAGGGAGGTGAGGACACATTGCTTTATAGTGATTTGTCCCACATTTTTGTCTGACCAGAAGAGGGCTGGACACTGGGTGAGGGCAAGTAATTTGAATGAGGTGTGATCCCTGTCCACAGGAACTTAAAATCTTGGTGGGTGAGACAGCAGACCAGAGCAGGGACACCTAGGCTGAGGGGCCACTGCCCATTTTGCACAAAGGAGTGACTTGACAGACCTGGGCTATGGAGGGTAAGTGTACCTGGGGTGGGGGTGGGGTTGTCAGGGTGGGGGGATAAGGAAGAGAAACAGCCCCCCTCCCCGGGGTGGGGGGGCGGGGGGAAGGACACTAACCTTTACTGAGTGTCTGCTGTGAGCCACACGTGTTAGGATTTTAAGTTCTCAGAAACTCTATTAAAGCAGTATAATTACCCATTTTACAGATGGGGAAAGCTAAGGTCAAAGAGACTAGGGATTTGCCAAAGTCACACAGCCAGTGAGTACTGGAGCCAGAATTTGGGACCAGGGTTATGCTTTTGGGGATTCCATAACCCAAGGTTTGGAACATCTGTTGTGTCAAATGTTTCATGAGATTTCATGAGCCTTTACCATTTGAGCATAATTGACCCTCTTGGGGTCTCTTGTTGGGAGGTTGAAGAAAAGGGAACAGAAGAAATCTCTGCTGCCTTCCAACAGGAACACACTAGGTCTACTGGTAAGAAGGGCTCTGGAGAAAAGGGCTGGGGAGGGAAGGGGAGAAGTGTGCTGGGCGGGGAGAGGGAGCGGAAGCACCACTGCGGTTTTCAATAGGGCAGTCAAGGGAGGCCTCTGGGTAAGATAAGAGGTTCCAGGAGGGGGAACACAAATGCAGAGGCCTTAAGGTAAGAGTGTGCTGGACGATCTGAGGAAGAACAAGCAGCTGGAGTGGAGTGAGCACGCAGCAGGGAGATGAGGGGTGAGAAGGCAGAAGATGGAGGAGGCCGATTTGAAGGACTTGGCAACTGTTACAAGGTTGGTTGCTGAAGGGTGCCTCCTTCCCCCCCCCTCCCCAAGCTACCCTCCACCGTGGGAGCTCCATGGGTGCCCCTCATGGGCACGATGAATCCTGACTGGGCAGCCACACCTAAGGCCTCTGTGGCCCCAACCTCCTCTCTGGGGCTCTATCTGGGATGTAAATCGCATGCTCCCTTCCTGTGGGTCCCACAGACTCCCTGACCCCAGCGGGCTCACCCTGGAGAGCAGTTCCAGAACCCCATCTCCTAGGGTGCCTTTACTCTCAGAAGATTCCCATGACTCTCTCACCCCCTCCCCAAGAAATCCTTCCTATTCTGAGGTTATGGGGTGCTGACGACAGCCTCGCTCTTCCTAAGAATTTAAGAAGACACAAATCAAGAGGACCCTTAGGGCGCTTTTGCTTTTCCGCTCTAAGATAATGAGCTGATTGGATGGGGCCAGGGCAAGGTGGGGAAAGGAAATGCAGATGGGAGAGGGAGGTCACTTACCGTTTCCGAAGTCTTAAACACCGCATCAGTTGATAAGGTAAGGCTGCCTTCCCCCACCCGTCTGGGCTCCCCAGCTGCGCACTGGCACACACATCTAGACATCCTGAGGCCTGAATGTTAAGACCAAAAAGGCCGAGTATGGGCAGAGAGGCCCACCTTCCTAGGCCCCGCCTCTCTCCCAGTGATCTATCCCCTGGAATCACGGGGAAATCACAGCGGGGACAGCCCCAGACCCTGGAGTTGGAGTACCAGAGAGCACTGAGGCACCCCAGGCCCTCTTATCCTCTCTTTTCTATCCCTTGCCACAGGGGAATACCGACACCCTTGGGAGAATTATAGTGAATTGCTGGTTTATACCCTTTCCCTCCTTTCTGAGAATTCAGGGATCAATTACTAGTCCAATCACAAATGAGGCTTGCTCTGAAGCTAAAATGAAAAGATTTTTTTTATTAGAGAGAGCACGCGTGCACAAGTAGGCAGAGCGGCAGGCAGAGGAAGAGGGAGAAGCAGGTTCCACGCTGAGCAGAGAGCCTGATGCTGGGCTGGATCCCAGGACCCTGGGATCATGACCTGAGCCGAAGGCATACGCTTAACTGACTGAGCCATCCAGGCGCCCCAATTTTTTTAATCCTATGAAGAGCTAAGGATTCCCAGATTTTAAGGCCATATACTATTAATTCAGAGAAAAGAGCTGAAAATTGTATAAACAAGCCCCCTTGAATATTTTTCCCCACTTTGAGTGACCCTCTCTTTTCTAATTAGTCAAACATTAGCCACCCTACAAGGCCCTACCAATCACCACTTCCTCTGATTAGCCCTCCTGGACTTCCCAGCCAAAGACTTTCTCTTTCTCTTCTCAGCTCCTATCTGTACCTCTCTGCCAGTACCTGGACACATACATCATTTCGTGGCTAGACTGAATAGAGACTGATTCTTATTAATCGAAGCCAGCACATAATGCATGCTCAATACTTACTTACTGAATTATAGCTGAAATACCACCTGGCCTCCCCTACTCCATCTTGTCTACGCTAAAGCCACGCCGCTACCAGGCCCCACCACGGTCTTAATGTTGGCTCTACTGGGCATTGACAGAGCCCATGCATGATGGGTATGTGCAAGTTACCATGGTGCAAGAAAGCCAAACATCTTCATTTTCCTCCCAGAGCCCAGTTCAGGATACACTCCTATTACAAGGAGGGGAAATACAGGTGATTCATAATCGAGGCTATTGACTGAAAGCTGTATATTATCCAGACGGCAACGGTGGGTCTCAAACAGTTAAAAGATTTTAGATACTGGACTGCTGTTGTCTGTGAAATACAGAGGCTGTGTTCGTGTTCAGTTTAATTCAGCATGCCTTTCTGAGCATCCAGCGAGGGTCT